GAAGAGAAGGGCGTGGGACGGTGGTTGAGAACGCGGGGTCTTCCTCCGGCCGCCGGGGCACCCCTCCCTCTCCTCTCCACCCCTTCCAGACCTTCCTCGGCTGCCCACCCAACGCCCGCACCGTGGCGATCTGCTTCTTTAGGGGGAGTCCGAGGAGCAAGAGCAGGATCCCGTCATCTCCAAAACACCTGTTGCCCCTGCTCGGGGGCTTCGTGAGGTTCCTGCCCGGTGCCCCTCTTGGCAGCCGCTAGGATGCGCTCACTCCCCAAAAATGCAGCGGCCCCGCCCCCTTAACCCTCCGCGGCTCCGCGCCGTGCAGACCCGAAGTGCGGCGAGGAACCCACTAGGGTTGTGGGGCAGGAGGCAGCTGGGGAGAGAGGGCCTGGGGCATGGAAGTCTAGGGGCCAAATGAGAAAGGGCGAGAAGGGCGAGGAGGAGTTAAATATCGTCTCCACCCAGCGGGGCACTCCGCTCCCAGCGCGACCCAGCCTGAACCAGACCTCGTCCCGGAGGACTGGGAGCGTCCAAACGAAATCCGAAGGGCGGGGAAACGGGGGGCGTGGTTCCGGGCGGCGGGCGCCGCTCCAGGCTCCGGGACCCTTCCCTTCCCTCCCGCTCTATCTTCCCCAAAGTCCACCCCATTCAGCTCCGCAACTCAAATGCCGTCCCCCGCCCCCCGCCCCGCACTCTGTCCGCGCAGGCACGGGCCCGGTACCCCGATCCCGGCCCCAACACAGTCCGGGGAACACCGCCCGCTCCAGACTCACCTCCAGCGCCCACCCCCGCTCCTGCCGCTCTGTGATCTCGGCTGGGGTCCCAACCCCCGTGAGGACAGAGTTGGCGGAGAAGAGCCCCGCTCCTCGAGCCTTGGGAGCTGGAGCTTTGGCTGCGAGGAGTCCCTGGGTAGGCTAGGGCCAGTGCTCCGGTGGGGCAGGGGCTCGGCGGTCTGGCGGCTCCAGGGCATTGTCTAAACGGGACAGGGCAGGGCTCCTCAGGCCACGCC